GGGCCGCCTCCCGGCGGCGGGGAGCGGGCCCGGCTGCCCGGGGGCTTCATCAGCACCGTGGGCTCCCCCGAGCGCAGCCTGGGAGGGACCTGGTCCGACTGCAACGGGGGCACTCGAGGCGGCAGCGAGTCCAGCCTGGAGGAGAGAAATAGCAAAACGTCCGATTCGGAGTCCAAGGTATAGGAGGGGGAAGTGGGGGCCGTGTCGGGGCAGGGGGGAAGGCAGGGCAGTCAGGGAGACACACAGGAGCAGAGAAATCCCCAGCAGCTGCCTGGTGGTAAGGCTAATGCCAAGCACAACTGATCCCTGTCTTAGCGGGGAGAGAGCGAGTGTTTACTTAGGAATAAAAGCAGGTGAACTCGTGTACGACATACCTCATCTGAAACTACAGCAAATAGGAAACCCACTGACTGGAGAACAAAGAAAATAAACAGCCTGTCCCAAAGACGGCCAGCTTATATTTAGGAGAGACGCTTTCGGAAGGGGCTGTGGCAGCAGTGCCCTTCACTCGGGTGCTGGTGGTTGAACCTGAGGATGGAGGTGCTGGCCTTTGGCTGTCAAGTTTGGCTGCAGCTGGGGTCCCAGCCGTCCCCTGCCTCATCCGGGGCTGTCGGACGCCCCAGGTTTCATTCCCTCACCCACAGCACCGGGTGGTTTTTGGGGAGGCGCAGGGTCTGTACTGCAGGTGCTCCAAGCAGAGAGTACGGACCCACAGGCAAGATGAGTTTTAAGCTCGGACTAGCTGTGCTCCCCTCTTCCGCAGAGTAGCGTTGGAGAAAACTAATGAGCAATGAGGAGCATAGGTATATTTTGAAAGGGGGTAAAAAAACCCAACCCACACTCTTGTGCTTTTTCCCTCTGCATCAGCAAGCAGTGAGTTATTGTGCTTGTCTCCTTCGGCCAGACAATAGCAGTCAGGCTGAGAAACTTCTACCTCAAACTGTGCATATTGTACAGGGGAATAAATGGACCATGTTTATATTAAACAGCATATTTATATACCACTAATAGTATTTTATGAAAAGGTGGGGGGTGGACGAGGAGCCTTCTGCAGCTTGTTCATTGTAATTACAGATGAACGGGGAGGGGGGGGAAATCCTGGCAACAACAAAAATTTACTGCACATTTTTTAAAAAATGGCGACAAAGCCGTTTTTTTGCACAGTGTTAAGAGTTGTAAAGTTATTTGAAGATGTTAGTTGCACACATGTACACACACGTGAATTAAAAATGAAACAGAGGTTTGAATAACACTGACCCTGAAACTGATTTCTGGTTTTGTCTGCTCTGTTATAGTTTTATTGAGAGAGTGACTTTTTTATATTATTTTATGAAGGTACTGTAAATATATCCATATTATAAATTAAAATATCTTAAGGGACTTTTTATTTCCAAGTGCTCACGTGAATCTGCTGTTATTTTAGCACTTGTGTGTCGTTTCCATTTTCCTCTCTGTGTGTGTTTTATAACGTATTTATACTCTGGTGCAATTTACTACTGTGTAAGTAATTGGTCTATGTGCAATAAATACCATTGCAGCACAAGCCAGTGTGTCTCTATAGGTTTTGAAACAATACCTACCTTTAATGGGAAGAACAGCATTTGTTTTTCTCCAAAGATGGCTCAGATTACCACTACAACTCTATCTAATGGCTTTTCCTGACACAGTATTGTAAAAAACGTGTTCGAAACCCAATAAGGTTGTGTTCCTGTTGCACCAAGGTCTGCTGATTTCCCTTAAAATTAATGGCTAAAGACAAGGTGTTTCCACTCTGATAATGGATACACTCATTTTCTGTAACTATTCCTTTCTGGAATTTTTTTTTTTTTTTCTGTTAGGAGTGCATGGCTGGGAGTCAGGAGACTAGAATATTTAAGATTGCAGAGGATGTTTAATTTGAAAGCTAAAAATTGTCTCGAGTAGAAAGAAATCTCCGTATGCGGTACAGACCACCCCACAAGTCAGTCTACCTCATGCCGACAGTGGGACCGATCCTGCCGGAGCGAGGTGGGTGGTGTGTGCTCAGCGGGACGGGGTCCCAGTGCTGAGCGTGGAGGTCAGGGGAGACCCCTGCCCAAAAAGCATCTGGAGGAGGCTCGTGCCTTGTAAGGGGAGATAGCAGCCGGGGAGCCGGTCGCAGGAGTCCAGAATTTCTTTCCCTCTTACTGTAAAAAAGGAGTTAACCTCTGAGGGAATGGCGAAGGCATCACTGGAGCAGGATCGGACTCTGGGACAGACTTAAAACACTGCTGAAGCCTCGTCTGTGTCACTGGGTGAAATAAAACTACCTAGTTTGTAGATCATAAAGCTAATGGTCATGTGCAGTGTGGCTTCAGTGTGCTGCGACGGTCACATATTCCTTGGGGGCCAGATGATAACTGAATGTTAAATTGTGGACTGATCCAGGGAAGGAGGTACTGTGAACAGAAAGGCTGCAGATTTGGGTCCCTGGTCCAAAAGATTTCTCTTCCTTTATTGCTTTATGAAGGTACGCTGTTGTCGCAAATGAGTACTGCTCCTTGTGGTTTCATAAAGTTTTTCGTTACAATAATGAATACATGGCAGATAGTGCAACAAAAAGGCAGTGCAGAATAAAAGTGAGGCCATTTTTAGCTTTATTAGACTCAGAAGTATAGTTAAATTAGAAATCAGCTCCCAGGAAGAGCACTTCCCAAAACAAGTTCTTTAGGATGGTGGCCAGTGGTTTGTTTTGGAAATCGTTAGTTCATTTTTTTTGTTTTAAAAACTAAGGAATTTGTCCTTTGCGATTTCTAATGATGTATTTTCAGGGGAAAAAAAAAATATTTATGCTTTTTATGCAAGGACAAAATAAAGGGACCAGGGAAGTAAATACTACTTTTTAACTGATGTTACTGGGGATCAATGTCAGCTGCAGTTAATGGTGTCTTCCTTGATAATAGTTAAATAAGCTCCTTAAAATGCCGGGGTGACATCAGATCAGGTGCTAAGTGAAGTAGGCTCTGCCACCAAATGATTTTTTTTTTAAATCTGGTTTTGTCTGTGATTCTAGCAAAGACAACAGGACCAAAAGGGTGCACGGGATGGCAATGTCTGATGCTGGCCACTACGGCAAGATGTTGGCTGCGTATGTCGGGATCGGGCCGGGATGGGGAGGCAGCGCTGCCCACCTCCTGCGCATTGGGGACCCGGTCCCTGCCTGCGAGGTAGAGCTAGGCAGGATCTGGCCCCAGCGCCTGGCTGGGACCTGAAGTGGCTTGTCAAGCCATGGTCCTCAGCAGGGTGCTGGATCCTGGGGAAGCACGATGCCTACTGCGTGGTGTGGGACAGTCTAATGGACTTGGCTCTTCATCTCATAGATCAGCTCACATTACTTAATTTTAACCATCCGAACGCTCGTGTCCTTAGATTTTAAAAAGTGATGAAAGTTTTGGCTCAACAGGGTCCGACTTAGGTGGGAAATTTATGGCCAGAACTTGCTCGGCTTCTCCTGCCGAATAGCTGTACTGCATCGTGCTTCCCCTGTGTGAGTGTTATGGCATTGAGAAGGTGAAACGTAGGATGAGTTTTTCCCATTGGCCTCAGTAGGGCCAGCTGTGTGAGCGAAGTGGTCAGGATTTGCCTGCTGTTGAGTTTTGCCCAGTCACGGACCTGCTGGAAGAGTCTAGAGGCTGGCACGTTGAGTCCCTTTGTAGACAGCTAAGATAATCCACGTGGCAGCGTGGATGGTGGATGCTGATCCGTCTTGCACGGTGTAAAAAAGACGGTGGCACAGTAACGGTGCGGAGGGAGCAGGACATATGGCATGCACGTGTGCGAGGAAGGGGAGGCTGCTGGCGAGCAGTCTGCCATGGATCACGCTTGGAACAGGCTGTTCTCTGCAGAGAAGAAGGATACTCTGAAAAGTGTTACGGGGCAGCTGAAATACTCTGGAGGCGATGAGTCAAACACTTACGGTGAATATTTTTTTCTGACAAAACCCAGACATGGATTAGCAATTGGAGCTGCAAGTCAGAAAGTATAGGTGGTGGGCATGCGGCTGCACACGTACACGGGCAGGAAAGTAACAGCAAAGAGCCACAGGCCTGCAGGAAGGGGAGACACAGGTAAAAGAGAAATCCACTCGGTGAGAACGTCCTGTGTCTGCCAGGATCAAAATTATTTGGCAAGGGTGCCTGAGACTTCTACATGTAAAACACCCAATTCTCAAAGGGACCGGCCGAACTCTACGCAGTGTTTGCTCAGCACTTCTGAAAAGAAGGCTGCATCTCTCCACATGCTTAAATGGGAATGTACTGGGTGGAAAACCTGGCTTCAGTTTTCCATGTGTTCAGGAAAGTTAAAGATCTTTCAGACACACAGCGGACTATCAAAGTGCCTGCAGAAGGATCTCTCCGCTGGTGAGAGCTGCACAAAAGCGCTCCTGCAAATTCACTGCGCTTCAAGACCATGACCCTCGGCATCAACTGACTGTAGCTCCAAGCAGTAACTGATGAACAAATGAAACTATATGCAAAAAATGTGGTTTAAAATTGTGATCTGAACCGTGCCCATGGCACAAGCAGCATTTGACAGCATCAGCGGGCTGTTTGTGGTATAGCACGCATCGGTTCTGCAAACGCTGCTTTCCCTTTTGGGTATGCACGTGTTTTCAAGTATAAGGACAACTTCTTTATCAGCTTTGCTTTTTTTTTCCCCGAAATCCTATCCACAGTCATTGTTTTATTAATAACTTTCAAGTGGCTATTTTGCAAACCTTCTTTGTGCTGCACACTTTCCTAATTTATTGTGATCTCCCGTCCGGTGGAGTGCACTTATTTCCTCTATGTAATATATCAGCTGCAGGGCTGGAAATTCTGCAGCTATGAACTGAAAGAGCGGATTTTCTTGAAGCCAAATGCGGTCAGGCATCATTGCCACTGGGAGCAGAATTCGACCTGGTAATCTAATCTTATATGAGGGACTATCTCCAGG